TTTTAGAAACAGAAAGATTGCTCCACACGCATGAGGATAAGTTAGAGTTGTATAATAAAAAATGGAAAGGTTGGGAAGAACACAGAGAAAAGGTGAAATATATGATGGGATAATATTCCTGGAAGAGGTTTAGAAAACGGGTTTAGGAACAACAGAATAATATAGATTTAATCTGAAGAGAGAAAATGTGGAGTGTGGGGGGGAGGGGGGAGGAGGGAGGGATTGGGGGGGATAGAGGGGGGGGGCTCTCGGGTGGGGCGGATGGTAAGAAATGGAAGTTATATATAAATAAATTTTGAGGAGAAAACAATGTTTTGGATTACGATTTTAATAGAATTGTTGAAATGTTTTGTATATGATTTGAAAAATCAATAAATATTTATTAAAAAAAAAAATGGTGTTACCGCTCCGCAACCGCCCCGCAAACTCGTCGCAACTTGCGTTTGCGGAGCGGCACCTTAGACTAGAATAGGCTTCAACGCCTCCTGACTCGACCAGAGGCGTCCGTTTTGCCGCGACGCTAACGCTCCCGTTAGAACAGCACCATGTGCTACAATGTGCAGAATTGTTTGAGGCGTAAAAACGCTTCCCAAACGCCTCTCTGCCGCCTGCACACAACGCTAGTGTGAACGTAGCCTGACACTGAATTATAAATGGCATAAAAGCGATCAGAAGTGTTTTTCACAGTTTTCCTTTGCATGCTGTTTCACGATAGTTGGCTTGCTGTTGAATATTTTTTTTATGTGTGTCTGTGGAGGTTTTCATTTGTTTGCTTAAGTATTTCTTTTCCCCGATAGTCCTCTTCTCTCTACAGTGAACCATCTGCCACTACTCGAAGCTACAGGGTTAGTACAAAACTAGCTGATTTTGTATCTGCACTTGATGGAGACAAGATGTGTGTGTGTGCATGTCTGTCAAAAATGTGCTACCTAGCTTTGTTACCATTTTTATGGAAATTTAAAGTCTTTGAAGTTCTTGGTCAATTTCGCAATATTGGTTGCATTCTAGCTCCTGTAAAATGAGAGCAATCACTTTCATATGCTTTACCAAGTATGCACCTAAAAAGTTTTTCATTGAAGTTCAACTGTGCTTGTCAAGCTCACCAAACTGCAAATTCTATTCTCATCAGTCCTGTTCTACGCTATATTGCCAAAAGTATTGGGACGCCTGCCTTTACTCGCACATGAACTTTAATGGCATCCCAGTCTTAGTCCGTAGGGTTCAATATTGAGTTGGCCCCGCCCTTTGCAGCTATAACAGCTTCAACTCTTCTGGAAGGCTGTCCACAAAGTTTAGGAGGGTGTCTATGGGAAGGTTGGACCATTCTTCCAGAAGCACATTTGTCAGGTCAGGCACTGATGTCGGGGGAGGAGGCCTGGCTCGCAGTCTCTGCTCTAATTCATCCCAAAGGTGTTCTATGGGGTTGAGGTCAGGACTCTGTGCAGGACAGTCAAGTTTCTTCACCCCAAACTGGCTCCTCCATGTCTTTATGGACCTTGCTTTGTGCACTGGTGTGCAGTCATGTTGGAACAGGAAGGAGACATCCCCAAACTGTTACTACAAAGCTGAGATCATGAAATTGTCCAAAGTGTCTTGGTATGCTGACAGCTTAAGAGTTCCTTTCACTGGAACTAAGGGGCCAAGCCCAACCCCTGAAAAACAACCCCACACCATAATCTCCCCTCCACCAAACTTTACAGTTGGCAGAATGCAGTCAGGCAAGTACCATTCTGGCCACCTCCAAACCCAGATACGTCCATCGGATTGCTAGACCGAGAAGCCTGACTGGTCACTCATGAGAACAAGTCTCCACTGCTCTAGAGTCCAGTGGTGGCGTGCTTTACACCACTGCATCCGGCGCTCTGCATTGCACTTGATGATGTAAAGCTTGGATGCAGCTGTTAAGCCATGGAAACTCATTCCATGAAGCTCTTTACGCACTGTTGGGCTAATCTGAAGGCCTCACAAAGTTTGGAAGTCTTTAGCTACTGACTCTGCATTCTGTCGGCAACTTCTGCTCACTGTGCACAGCAGCATGCGCTGACCCCACTCTGTCATTTTACATGGTCTACCACTTCATGACTGAGTTGCTGTTGTTCCCAGTTTGTTCCACTTTGTTCTAATACCACTAAGAGTTGACCATGGAATATTTAGTAGCAAGGAAATTTCACAGATCATATTGCACAGGTAGCAACCTATCACAGTACCACACTTGAATTCACTTGGCTCTTGAGAGTGACCCATTCTTTCACAAATGTTTGTAGAAGCAGTCTGCATGCCTAGGGGCTTGATTTTATACACCTGTGGCCATGAAGGTGATTGAAACACCTGAATCACAATGATTTGGAGGGCTGGCCCAATACTTTAGGCAATACAGTGTTTGTGCTGCTTACTAATTTTATAGAAGGTACAAGCTTGACTGAGAGTAAATTAGAAACAATAAATACTAAATATTTGTTCACAGACATCTCCAAAGTTAAGTGCTACCTTGCCCCGGAGTTCAAGTTCGGTTAGTATTTGCAGTCTACTTGAACTGTTTACAGTAAAGCACAAAAATAGTATTGGCTATATGTTTGTTTGTTTTGTACTAATACTCCCATTAAGTTTCATACAGTTTGACTGTTACACCACTTTTAAACATGCTATATTTACAGTTTTTTTTAGATTCATATTACTGCTTAGCACCTGGTTGTTGCATCTACATAAAGACTGACTAATGCAGGCCATAGACGGGGAGAAAACCGCCTGTTTTTTTAAACAAAAAATCGGTCGTTCAATAGGCCGACATTACCACCAACAGTAATAAAAAAATCGGCCGATTTTCTTCCCGTCTACGGCCGGCATTTAATTACTTCTGTCCCTGCAGAGAGCCCCGCTATTATATTTGACATTAAAAAGTATTGCGGTTGCAACAGTGTATCTGTTTGTATCCATTTCGGATACAGATGGGTTTTTTCAGATACAAATAGATACATTGTTGCAACCGCAATACCTTTTAATGTCAAATATAATAGCAGACTGGAATTCTTCTTCTTTTTCTCTTCTTCATTCTCTTCTTTCTCCTCTTCTTCTTTCTCTTCTTTCTCCTCTTCTTCTTTCTCTTCTTCTTCTTCCTCTTCTTCTTCTTCTTCCTCTTCTTCTTCTTCTTCCTCTTCTTCTTCTTCTTCCTCTTCTTCTTCCTCTTCCTCTTCTTCCTCTTCTTCTTCTTCCTCTTCTTCTTCTTCCTCTTCTTCTTCTTCCTCTTCTTCTTCTTCCTCTTCTTCTTCTTCCTCTTCTTCTTCTTCCTCTTCTTCTTCCTCTTCTTCTTCTTCTTCTTTCTCTTCTTCTTCTTCCTCTTCCTCTTCTTTTTCTCTTCTTCTTCTTCCTCTTCTTCTTCTTTCTCTTCTTCTTCTCTCTTCCTCTTCCTCTTCTTCTTCTTCCTCTTCCTCTTCTTTCTTTCCTCTTCTTCTTCTTTCTCTTCTTCTTCTTCTTTCTCTTCTTCTTTTTCTTTTTCTTGCAGGTCACGGCTCATGCGCAGATTTTTTTATCGGTAAAAAGATCGGCCGATTTGCCCATCATTACTGCGAAAATTGGCCGATTTTTTTTCCAACTTCACCGATCAAAAAAATCTGACAAAATCCAGAAAAACGGCCATCCAATTAACCCAATAACGTTGCGAAAATCTGCCGATTTTCTTTTCGGCCGAAAAAATCGGCCGATTTTCGACCCATCTATGGTCTGCATTAGTGAGGGAGATTTACTAAAGCTGGTCCACTCAAAATCTTGTGTACCTGTGCATGGTAGCCAATCATCTTCTAATCTCAGCTTGTAAAATTAGGCTTTAGCAAAAAAGGCTGAAAGCTGATCTGTTTCTATCAGAAGTGCACAAGATTCTGAGTGAACCAGCTTTAGTAAATAAACCCCACTGTGTCTAAACCCAAGAACACATTTTTTTTAGCATTGTAGCTTACCGGTCCTTAGATGTTTTTTTTTCCCCACTTTTTAAAATTTTTTACCTTGGCAAGTCTACCATTAGCTCTCTTCCTGTCCTAAGGTGACAACCGTACTGAGCTGCATTGTCACCCTAGGACAGGGAGTGTGCTAGGACTAGATAATGCTGATGCAACACTCCCTCTTTTCTCCATTACAGGGAGGGGAGATAATACATAGTCCATAAATATAGCAGGGATCAATGCGAATTGTTAAGTCCAGAGACAGAGGATACATGGTTGCAGGATTTATGACTGGATGAACAGCTTTTTTTTTTTCTTTGTACATGCCAAACAGATGCAATAAAACATTTTCAATAGTCTATTTAACAGACCAAAAGGGAAACAAGTAAGATAAATGTATTATTAGAGTTTACAACCACTTTAAAAAATCTTTTTTGTTTTATATTATTTCTCAACAAAATTGGTTTGAAATGTGTTCTCAGATAGCTAGACTTTTAGAAACGGAAATTATGAAAAGGTGCTTGTACGTAAAGTAGTACTATAGGCAAAATACTTCGATTTAATTTTGGATAGAGTAGGTGAGGGTTATAACCCCTGTCAGATTTTTTTTTTCTACATTTGAGTCCCATTGCAGAGATTTCCCTTCACTTCCTGTCCCATAGCCAAACAGAAAGTGAGGAAATTCCTATAAATTAAGGGAATTCCTCTGTGACCTCCAGTGTCCTCTTTGGAAGATTTCCCCTCTATTTCTTTTCTGGGGACAACCCAAAATGTGGGCTTTTCTATTACTTTCAATTTCAAAAAAGATTTGTGTAACGGAACCGGACCCAGACCGCACTTGGGTATTTCCGTTAGACGCCAGCTTCCCTGTCCGAACACAAAATCCCCGGACACCACCGCTGATCATGCAGGAAATAGACAGCACCAGACTCTTCTTAAGGCAGGAAGTAAACTGCTTTATTTTAACACAAACACAAGATATATACACAGGGAATTACAACCAGGAACAGGAAACACATCACCAGGCTCTCCCATCAGGGGGAAGGGCTGCAGGAACCACCCCCCACCAACCCAAGACACACAATAGAACAAAGGGATAACCAAGTGGCAGTAGACAATACAGGAACACCTACATCCCAGAATAGTTTGCTGACAAGCAAGACACAATAGAACAATGGGATGCAGCAAGTGGCAGTGAACAATGAACAACCCCCACACCCAACCTATACATGTCTATACAATATCAGGACAGAGCACCCTGTACCCCCTAACAGGCACAGGGTGCCTTTACACATAAGAGGGATTTGGGAAGATGATACAGGGGTCCCCCCACCCCCAAAAGTCACTCCTGTCACAAATTGCCTTTAAGTTATACTTTAAGTGCTGGTTAAGTCTTAAAATAGATTAAATCTTAGCCAATGGCTGCCAACTCTGATCTGTGTGTTATAAAAAAGAGTGGCAGGGGGAGGTCGCCGCGCTAACATTGCTTGGATAATATGACAACCTGTGTTGTTTTTTTTTTTTTTTTTTTGTTTTTTTAAGTTCAGCTCGCTGGGTACCCAGTTTAAGTGCTGCATGATCTTTGCTGCTATGGCTGCATGACAGCATGGGGTACATACCAGACATTTTCAGACAGTGCCTAGAAGTGGTATTTACCTAAATTCCTCTTTTTTCACCTTAGACATCACTGTATGCGGATGGCCTTACTAATTTGTACAGTTCTCAAACTGTAAGTCCTGATTTGTTGATGCTGTAGTTTATATCCGAACATCCTAAAAGCATTCAGTTTTTCTTTAGTGATTTTATTTTCTGTGATCATTCTGTCACCAGCCCTCTGAATATAGCTACTATTCATCCAGAGCCAGCTCGACTAGAAGCAGTCCCGTGGTGAGATTTCCCACTGCATGTACTTTTGTGTGCCATGGTCTCTACCAGCTTCACAGAAAAGCTCTCTTTGCTGTGTATTCCCAGGGCCAGTTACAACACTGTTATTTACTTTTTATATTTTAACTTTGTGTTTACTTACTAATATCTCGCATGATTCACATTTTAGCCATATGATGAACCTGATTATTTAAATAATGCTGTAATGGTTTGCCTCATTACTGATGTTTTATAACAAAAAGCAGGGTGGATTTGATTTAAATCAAACTGATTTAAATCACGATTTAAATCATGATTTAAATCACTAATCAGGCTGGATTTAAATCCTAGTTTTCTACATAAAGACTAATTCTTGCTGGTATAACTTTAATATACAAGTAGATGAAGATTTTTAGAATAACAACTTTTCATATTAGTTTTTTTATCCCCAGTTTAATAGGTTAATCATTCATATTTGGACAACTTTTCTGTTGTATTTAGGAAGGAGAAAAATAATCATTACCTTAATAATAACAATTTAAATAGATTTATTCAACTGAAACAATAACATTCCAGCATATGTGATTTGCTTAAACATCCATGTTTGGTAACTAATTTGGCTAAAACAAAAATATATATATTTTCAGAAACGTAGACTGTCAGCACCTCCCTCCTCACACTGTCGGCCCCTTCCTCCTCACACTGTCGGCCCCTCCCTCCTCACACTGTCACCCCCTCCTCCTCACACTGTCAGCCCCTCCCTCCTCACACTGTCGGCCCCTCCCTCCTCACACTGTCAGCCCCTCCCTCCTCACACTGTCAGCCCCTCCCTCCTCACACTGTCAGCCCCTCCCTCCTCACACTGTCAGCCCCTTCCTCCTCACACTTAGTTTCACTTTCTTCTTGTGCAGATCTATTCCACTCCAAACAATCAGAAAAATATTGTTTCTATTCTATTCACTGAACTTCTTGAAACTTAGCAGTGAAGGGGCTGATTCTGTATTCATAGGTTTGTAGAAGTTAGGATGAAGGTCTTTTTTCTTAACTCTGTTCATGTTATAACATTTTTGCTGTGAAGAAGAGGCATGTGATCTCCGCTGAGTCAAATTCAGTTTTGAGAACTGCAAAAGTAAACCAATCATCTGTGATAATATCTTGTAGGCAGAGAAACTGCCCAATAATCTTACAGAAACCTCTGGAAGAGCATGACATTGTGAATGGATTCATGGAATTTATTTACCAAAAACATTAAACATATACAGCCTTATTCTACATAATTAAAAAACTAATCTTTATTTTATGATGGAATAACCTTTGGATGGTAATATATTTTCCTCAAAAAGCATTTTATTTTAAAAAATCTGATTTAAATCAAAAAAATCCAATATAAATCAAAAAAATCCGATTTAAATCAAAAAAGTCAGATTTTTTTTTATTTTTAAAAAAAAATGATTGATTTTTATCCACCCTGACAAAAAGTATATGGCGGGGCTTATTTTAGGAGCACTGAACTACTTTTATAAAAATGTCTACATGTTTAGTGGATCTTAAAGCTCAAAGCTGTTTAAGTGTAAATTGTTCAGTACTTTTGAGATCAGTTTAGGATGGTTTTGGAATCATTCAGAGTTAACTGCAGGTGTGTTTGACATGCTTTTTTGCATAGCTGTGCTCTGGGATAGAAACTGTTCTGAAACCAAGTTCCTCATACTACTACTTGTGTGTGAGAGCAATTTTGCAACTTGCAGTTTTCTCCAATTTGTAATGTCTGTAAACTGATGGAAATGCTCTTTATATGATCTTGAACAAACACAATACAATTTCATCAACTTAAAAAACAGCGCAAAACACAAACTACCTCACACCAATCAATATATGTGAACAATAATAAATAACTTATTCATTAAATAATATTAATAAAAAATATTGCAATTTAATATAAGTGTCACAAAAAAAAAAATATATATATTAAAACAAAAAGTCCAGTGACACATACAAAAAGAAGTCCAGTGCCCCACACAAAAAAACTTATTTTCATTAAGTACAATTTCGCCTACACCAGTATAATCATTAAAATTACATTTTTCTGATGTCTTTAGCAAGTCCTGTTTGTTACAAATTACGTATATTTCTGCTTGAGTCAGAAGGTTCTTATGTCAGCTAAATAGATATTTTATTAGGTATTCAAATAGAATAAACCCAGCCATACATGGATCTAAATTCTGCTGGTTCACATTTCAATCCATTAATGGACAAGCTGGTTGTACTCAAGTTGATTTATCAATTGACTTTTGTACAACCAGCCTGTCGGGTTTTTCCTGAACGATCAGTGCCGCAGTTTGTAGCTGGCAACCCTGATCATTGTATTCTGACAGCGGGGGAATACAATACCGCAGTGTGAGCGATTCCATACATTCAATGTGGAAGGGGGAATCAACGCTACTGGTTGAACAAAATAAATTATAAGTTATTGGGTGCCTTAGATATATAGACATTTGTGGTGTGACACAGAGCAGATGGCAATACATTCAGTGGAAGTTGTTTTGTCCCTTTGGCGAATGGGGACAAGCTAGGTGAATGACTGCATGGACGTAGGCGGATCTATTAATATAAACAAAAAATTCAGTGCTGCTACCCATTCAATCCATCATCAATAGAGCTTTCGAAAGGTGCTCTAAAATATTACTTTATTCAGTAAACCACATTGTTTCAGCCTACACGGGTTTAATCATAATCATCATTATTAAAGCCATGTAGGCTGAAATGCATCAACTTACTGTATATTTGACTTGTACACTGTGGTTTCCTGAATAAAGCAAGATTTTTGAGCAGCATCAGTTGTGCAGATCATCTCTATGGACATAGGGGGATCTATCAACCATGACCGTAGAAACTGCAGCCACAATCTGTGAGCCCATTATTACAAGGCAAAGCAAACAAACAGCATATTGAATATGACTACACTAATATAGATATTTAGGCAAATGTTTGTGAGCAGCATTAATAGTGTGTGTTCTTTCTAGTGTACAGATGATGAGGGTTCTATATCCTCTTGTAGCGCTGGACGGGGGCGAAAGGATAGTGTGGTGAGCCCAGATGCATGCCAGTGTTTTCATGTTTGACATAAGGGTATAAAAAAAATTACTTGCGTGATGCATTTTTAACTGGTAATAAAGATTATATTAAGTCAGACAAACTTCAAACTTGGCAACTTTTCTCTCTCTTCCGTGTTTTGAATCTAGCAGTCAAAAGCTTTATCTGCACACAAAAGGCAGCCAATCTGCCATGTTTTTTTGTCTGAATACTGTTTCTGGCAATTCTTCTTTTAGTAGCTTTTTATTTTTATTTTATATTGACAAGTTTTATTGGTTTTCAAATAAATCATATGTTACAGAAAACAAAGGAGAGAAAAACAAAAAAGACAGGCAAAACAGAGAAGTACATCGATGGCAAGGATTACATTTAGTCAAGACCAGTGGAGTCATATAGTAACAGTTCGTTAATAATCGGGTCTTACATTTCGGGCCAGTATAGAGGAAGAGAAAATTATCCCACGGGAGCCAGATCATCTCAAATACAGCAAACGAACCACTATGTGAAGCAGTCAAACACTCCATCTGTCTTACATCGGCAATACGTTTATACAAAGTTGGCAATGAAGGTGGAGTAGAGGATAACCAACACACAGAAATACTTCTCCTGGTCGCTGTTAGCACATGTAGCAGCAAGTTTTCTGGCTAGTTTAGGTAGACCTGGGAATGGCAAGCCCAGCAAAAAATGCAATGGGTCTCAAATGGGAGAGAAACATGCAACAACGATTGCAACAAGGAGCGACCTCTTCCCAAAAAGGAGCAATGGAGCTGCAGGTCCAAAAAAATATGATAAAGAGAGCCAGAAGCTCTACTACAGCGCCAGTAGCTTTTTATTTTATTTTATTTTATGTGTTAAGCTGCTGAGTTCCTGATATCTGTTTTTTTTTTTTTTTTTTTTTTCGCATCTGTGTATGATATAATGTCAGATTTGGTAATTGAACAACAGGTAAAGAGACTTAAATAACACACTGATGACCGAAATGCATAAAACGCATTTCAACAAATCCAATTTGGAAACTATCCTTTTTGACATTGAACTGCCTAGTAATGTAAAATCTTTAATGTTTTACAGAGATAGCTCTAATGCTAGCAAATTACTGTCCATGTCCAATTAGTGTGATGTCATGCACTTCTGTAGCTGATTGATAAATGAGTGATATTTTTTTTTTTTTTCTCTGTTTTAAGTCATCGGACTTTCTTTTCTGACAAGTGAATCTGCAGCCGATTATTTAGCCGCTCCAATGTAGGGGAAGTATATGTCTGATGATGTCAGCATTGCTGATCTCAACAGTGTGAGTTGTAACGCATTTTTTGTGCCAAAGCGGCGTGACTCCAATGCGTAGGGGAAGTACGATGTGGATCATAAAGTCTGTGAAATATTTTTAACATTAGTGCATGCAGAAGAAATAGTCTGCTTTATAGTTTACATCTTTATTAATGACGTCAGTTTGTTTTTATGTACTTTCAAGTAACAACAACTTTTTGTTTCTATGTCAAAACAGCATTTATACCTGCCTGTAAGACTGTTGTGCATGTGGTATGCAGCTGTATTTAAGATGAAAAAAAAAGATAAAGCGGTAAAGCCATTGTGCAGGTTATGTTTAACTTTCTTAGTGCATCCAGAAAATAGTCTGCATAGAAGTTTACACATCTTTATCCTTACGTTGCTTTGTTTAATATGTCTTTAAACAGCGTAGCAATGGTGAATTTCCACTTACACCAGGGTGTGTCCAAACAGCATTTTTTCAAAAGAGGGCCAGATTGGATGTAAGAACATGCATGTGGAGGGCCGAACATTTTTCCGAACATTCTTTGAACCATTACAATTAAATGCAAATAAATTATTTTATGCCATTAATTGCAAACGACAATACTTTTCATTTCATCAGCCATTAAGATCAACTGACAGACCGGATGGTTTTCACAATAGAAGCATAAAAAAAAAACTTCCTCACTAATGTGAAGGTGCTAGCTGGAGCTGAAGTCTCTTCGGCAGCCGGGAGGGGAAATGAATACTTCCACTTCACACTGAAAGCCCGACCAACGTCAAGGGAAAAGTTTTCACAAACAAGCAAGTCACTCAAGCAGAAGACTGTCTGCCACAAAGGGAGGGCAACAATTTACACAGAGAGGAGAAAAAAGGCTACACCCCTGCTCTCAAGCTAACCTGCAAGAAGGAATTTTGGGAGAGGCCACATTATAGCAGGGAGGGCTGTTGGAGGGCCGTAAAACACCCCCGGGCCGTAAATGGCCCGCTGCCGACTTTGGACATGATTTACACTAATGACCATGCACTCCGAGGAAAAGTTTGGTCACAAACAAGCAAGTCACTTCTGCACTGAACACCCCCAAAAAGAGAGGAGAAAAAGAGGCTACACGCCTAAAGGATGCTAACCTCAAAGGAATTTTAGTTTGCACCATAAACAGACTACTAAGCCCATTGACCCTCAGGACAATCCCATGGCAGGGGACTCTGCCCTATCAACCCCCCCCCCCCACAAGATAGCCATAAGAAACCCAAGGATGAACCCTAGATAGGATTGGTCCACTGGGACCTGACCGCCAACCCCAACCCCCCCCTCACAATGGAGAGAGAGGAGAGCTGTGAGAGATGATACCAGCCCACTGACACCCCCAACACCCACTAGATGGAATATGAGCCCACTACACACACTGGGGGGCTCCTAGATGTGCCAACCATACAGATTTAACACAGCTAAGCGACAGACATGAATGCATAAACATATATAGCATTAATATATATCGCAATATGCAAAGGCCAGTATGGTCATGGATGCTGGCCAAAGAGGATAGCAAGGTATAAAGTCACTGTACAGGGCAAAAGCCGCAAAGTCCATGCAAGACGTGGTATTAAAAGACCTCTTGTGTGACCAGAGCCAGCTGAATGGAGGCAATAATGAAGGTAAAGGCAATGGAAGGTAATTCATGCAAAAGCTGTGAGAAAGTGGATGACACTGGTGCTGAAAACGATCAACTAATAGCCAAAGAAGGTATGACAGCCATAGAGTGAGGATGGTCAACTGGTAACTGGGAGTCCAGTACTATAGTACACGGTAGCCAGCCTATGTGATAGAGGATACTGAAGGATTAAATCAGCGACATAAACGTGTATGACCAGTCCAGCCTGTGATCTGCACAGCTGATATGACTAAGGTAGGTATATAATATGTAGCTATATGTTTATGCATTCATGTCTCTCGTTTAGCTGTGTTAAATCTGTATGGTTGGCACATCTAGGAGCCCCCGGTGTGTATAGTGGGCTCATATTCCATCTAGTGGGTGTTGGGGGTGTCAGTGGGCTGGTATTATCTCCCTCAGCTCCTCTCTCTCCTTTGTGGGGGGGGGGGGGTTGGCGGGATGGGAGGGTCCTCCATCTAGGGCAGTGGTTCTCAACCTTCCTAATGCCGTGACCCTTTAATACAGTTCCTCATGTTGTGGTGACCCCCAACCATAAAATTATTTACCCAGTAATTATAATTCATGAGTGTCGTTTTACCTCCAATACTGCTGCTTTCAACACAGTAGCTACTTTTAACAGAGTAGCTGCTTTCAACACAGCAGCTGCTTTCTACACAGTAGCTGCTCTTTACACATCGGAAATATGTGTTTTCTGATGGTCTTAGGGACCCCTGTGAAAGGGTCGTTCAACCCCAAAGGGGTCGCGACCCACAGGTTGAGAACCACTTATCTAGGGGAATGGTTTTCTTATGGGTCCTTGTGGGGGGATTGATAGGGCTGGTGGAGTGGGTTGTGTCAGGGGTTGGGTGTTGTAGGGTTGGGTCAGATTAGTCCCAGTGGACCAATTCTATCCTCCGTCCATCCTTGAGGGTCCACTCTTGCTATTTCCGTGGGGTGGGGGGAGAGTCCTCTGTCATGCAGGATTGTCATGTCTCTGATGGCTTATAACTGTTTATAGTGCATAATAAAATTCCTTTGAGGTTAGCCTTTTAGGTGTGCAGCCTTTTTCTTCCTGTTTTTGAATATTGATTAGGTAGCCACCTTTCCAGACATTCTGGTGGCACCTCCACTTTTAGACACTGTATGTGGATTCCCCAGCGTTTCCCAATTCCCTTTTCCCTGATTTTTGATATCACTTCTACACTGACCACTATAATCAAAGGGGGCAGCACTACAACTTTTTTTTTCAAGATTGTTACTGAAAATGTTGTTGTATAGAGCAGGGGTGATTAAAAAACATCTACCCTGGGTGTCAAATACAGTGGGTAAGCTACATTCTTCTATTATGTAAGATTTTCTACAACTTACTAACCCTGCTAAAGTACATGAGCTGGAGGTTTATTCATTTTAAGCAGGGATTTTTCAAGACTCGAAAGCATTGGAAAAGGCTGATATAGATAGTGAACTATTTTTTTTTTTCTTTTAGACCTCTTTCACAGCATACATGCAGAAAACCTGGAAACTGACACACAGATTTCACTTGCAGCTATCTATCCCTTTACATCAGTTTTCATGCACTCTTCAATGAGTTTTATACACGCAGAAAAAATCTGCACGTGATACCAGTGTTGTGGTGTGAACAGGACACATCAAGAACAATTGATTTCGTTGTTCCCTTGCAAAAACGTGTGCAGAAATAGACGTGTCTGCACCATGTTGTGAATGAGCCCTTACATTGCCCTCTTTGATATTCATTTCCTTGTGCTCATGTTGGAATGTTGCTACATTATACATGAAGGACCAGTATTAGTCCTACCTACACCCTACCAACTGATGTCATGTGTGTTGAAGGGTGTTGGAGAAAATACAAGGGTACAAGGGGAGAACATGTACATAATATTCTTGTGAGGCATTGAACCTAGGCCACATGTGCTATGGCACTACTGTTGCTTCCAATATCAAGTCTACACACTGTATATTGCCAGTTAAACTAAAAAAAGGCTTGGACAGCAGCAGCCATATGAGAGCACATTAGTGACGTTTATTAGCAATAAATGTAGATGCAAATCAGACTTCCTGTCAGTTTTTTGTGTACAGTGGGGCAAAAAAGTATTTAGTCAGCCACCAATTGTGCAAGTTCTCCCACTTAAAGGGGGGACACGTCTGGCACTGCAGGATCTGAGTCCCTGGCGGCGTAGTGTGTTACTGATGGTAGCCTTTGTTACATTGGTCCCAGCTCTCTGCAGGTCATTCACTAGGTCCCCCCCGTGTGGTCCTGGGATTTTTGCTCACCGTTCTTGTGATCATTTTGACCCCCACGGGGTGAGATCTTGCGTGGAGCCCCAGATTGAGGGAGATTATCAGTGGTCTTGTATGTCTTTCCATTTTCTAATTATTGCTCCCACAGTTGATTTGTTCACACCAAGCTGCTTGCCTATTGCAGATTCAGTCTTCCCAGCCTAGTGCAGGTCTACAATGTTGTTTCTGGTGTCCTTCGAAAGCGCTTTGGTCTTCACCATAGTGGAGTTTGGAGTGTGACTGTTTGAGGTTGTGGACAGGTGTCTTTTATACTGATAAAGTTCAAACAGGTGCCATTGATACAGGTAATGAGTGCAGGACAGAGGAGCCTCTTAAAAAAGAAGGTACAGGTCTGTGAGAGCCAGAAATCTTGCTTGTTTGTAGGTGACCAAATACTTATTTTCCACCATAATTTGCAAATAAATTCTTTCCAGATCAGCCAATGTGATTGTCTGGATTTTGTTTCTCATTTTGTCTCTCATAGTTGAGGTCTACCTATGATGCCAATTACAGGCCTCTCTCATCTTTTTAAGTGGGAGAACTTGCACAATTGGTGGCTGACTAAATACTTTTTTGCCCCACTGTATTTGCAACCCCCTTGTTCCTGTAATCCTGTTCAGCAAATCTGTCTAAAGTCTCTCAGATCTCTCTTACAGAACCTGGTTAACATTGCCAAGCTGTATGACAGAATTGATAAATGTCCTCCATAATGTCCTGGATCAGTGGTGCTAACATTTTTTTCTGTTGGATCACAGTCTTGGTTTGCCACTGACCTTGGTTCACAAAAACGTGCTTTCCCATAGTATCAACTTACTAATAACAATCTTGGTCACACGCATAGGCCCTCTATTACAGTGGAAATATACATCTGGACAGATAAAATTGATTGCTGTAATCTGTATTGATGATTGGTGAAAATCAAGTAAGGTAGGGGCTGACAGATAAAATAAGGTGCCATAATTTTTTGCAGAGATTCCTTAGCATTCCTGAAAATTTGTGTAGGTTCTTAAAGTGCAGTATGATGGTAATGCAGGCTGAGCAACCCAAACAGGCAACCATGTTGTTCTGCACCTCAAAAAGTCAGCCATGATATTTTTTTGTGTTTTGAACCAGGGACAGAGTATCCCTGACCCCCCCCCCCCCCCATTCCAGAACATAGCTATAACTCCAAAAGTGCATCTCTATAGGCCTTTGGCTTGAGTAAACAAGGTGCTATGGGTCTGGACACTTTGAAAGAACTTGGGCTTAGCCATAAACATTCTGCTATACCGTTACTTAGCAGATAAATAACAAACGGCCATTTGCAAGCCGTAGCTAACTAATGGAATACTCTATCAAGAAATTTGTAAAAGGACATTCTTACAAATCCATTTTATGGGTGCCCTCATAAAAATGATAAACTCTTACTTGGGTAATTAGAACCTTACCAGACATCCATCCTGGTCTCATTCCCTGTATCAGTTAGCTGGTGGAAAGGCTAAATATGCATTCCTGTCTGACTGGTTATTAGCAAAGAATCAAAAACCCTCAGTGTATTTCATGACTTCTGAAAATAAAACCTTACAGCCAGAATAAGGACATATTTACTTATATCCGTTAATGAGCAGCATTTTTAAGGCCAAACATCCTTATATTAGAAGGTTTGAGGAGCCAACGGGACACATTACCCCTCTTAGGTAAAGTAGACATTTGACACCCCACATATTTATATCCATTCAAAAGGTAATTCAATGCTGGACAATAATATCCAGGTATAAGACTGTAACCTGTAGGTATTCAAAGATATTAATATCTATAGAAAATTGTATCTGGGACATGATTATAAACACAGTGACCTGGTGATTGCCCAAGTCTTTTCTGTCAACACCCCCCCCTTCAGGTCCAGAAAAGAGGGGCTGTGAATACACTTGACAACTCTCACTTTAACTATGAAAAGAATGAATGCCTGTCAGGGCTTATGAGAGCGATTGTTCGATTTTGCTCCTTCTTAGGATTCTGCTAAAACAGGACTTGATAAATATTTTCATTTTTCAACCCTTTTGTTTTGTTGTTGCATTGTTGTCTCTTTGTTACCTTTGTAATACCGTTTTTCTGTAAATATTTTATCTGCACCATTGTTTGCCTTTTAATTATGGAACAATATTTTGAAAAGTGTTAAATTGTCACCTATGCAGAACACAAAGAATCCCTGTCTCTTGAAGAGTGCTCTTGTAGTGTAAATCTCTGGATATACCTGTCTGTGGTGACAGTGTGTTACAGACGATTATTTAAAGTCATGTGTGTGTGGCACTAACCCCCACAAAAGCAGCTTGATAGTGCATAATAATCAATTAGCAATGTTTAACAAATTATACAGTCATGAGTAGTAAGCTTCAACTATTAAACTGCAACATCACCAGTAAGAGGGGAAAGAAAAAGCTTGCTGAATTATCAGGTCCCACTAGGCCACCGGCACCGCAATAGTGGATGTAGAGAATTATGTAAAAGTATACTCCAACATAAATAGATATAAGTATCCTAATTTGAAAACAGTGGATTTAGAAGAGAGGGGGTCCCTTTTAACTAGAGATTGCAGCTCGAGTCCTGTGATGTTTAAAGTTCCTAATATGATGGTTGGTTCCATTGTCTTCTGCTAGCAATGGTGGTGCCCATAAACAGTAGTGATTACTGGTAATTTAATGAAGTTAAACAATAGGCTGTGATACTGCTCAAAGCAAAGATTTCCTGATACTGAGGTGTAAAGGTGTCTGCATGCAGATGCAGTGTCTCTAGGGTGATGACAGAAAGAGGTTGTGCATCCGCCCGCTCACCAGTCCCATGGATAACACGGCCTCCTGGGATGAAGTTACTGCCCAGGCTCTTGGCTGTGTGCACATTGCTGCCTGTCAGCACAGAAATCAGAGATGTCTGAAGACCGAACAATGACCGTCCAGATGCAGATATGCCGATGTGATCCCGGTGTGGCAATCAGTGTCACCACTGTACTGAACTGATGTGTCCCACAGCAGTAAACCAACAATCTGTCTCTGGAAGAGAACGGCAGTTGCCCTGTGTTAAGCTCTGAATCCTGTGCCAAGAGAGCAAGCCAGTCCCCTGCTGTAGAATATATCTGTTCTCCAGCATCCTTCTGGCTCTCCAGCTCTCTGGTAGTTGTACGTCAATCAGCACTCAGAAATACATATGTATTGGCTGTAGGACTACAGGTCTCAGGATCCTCTGCTGTCAGAAGAACTGAATCCACTGTGCAAACAGAAAGTGATGTAGCAGTCCCAGCACTGGGCACTAGGGGAAAAAACGATTATTCATAGTCTCATCTGTAAATGTTCCTGAAAGGCCTAATGATATAGGCAGCACCTGGCTACATATGTGTAGTACATTCACATTAGTCATTTGTATATTTCTTGAAGGACATATAAGGGAATTGACTTGTTTGGTTCTTCTAACTGGTGTACTCTTTATTCACAATCATATTGGTATGACTTCTGAATAATAAAAATTCATTGGGTTCCTATATATTTAAGTGAAGCCTTTCAAAAAGAAGCTTTAATTCATGATAAAGCTGTCTCTATGGATTTATTTTTTTACACCAGGAAAATATACGTTAAATAATGAAAATAATCATCTAGTAGTCTGCAAATAATCCTCTGTATGGTATCCTTCCACAGCTGTGATCCTCTTGTATATTTGTATTTTGTTCATTATTGTACACCCCTAATGGTACAATGTTTTTTCTGCTTGTAGCTGGAAGAGAAGATTGACAAGCAATATTGTGAAGGTTATTCTAGGGTAAGTAGACTTGGCTCTGTTTGTAACAGAACATGTAATTTACATTTTGCTATACATACTCACAGAAATTATCTTTGACTTTTTATTGACACTCCGTTTTTGTTAGGTTTAGTGATCTTCTTTCTATTTATGTTCTTTCTTTTTTAAAATGTAATAACCAAAAACAAACAAAATGTTAGATCTACTTACACACATGTATGTATGTGTGTGTGAGATAGATATATATATATATATATATATATATATATTATATATATATATATATATATATATATATATAATCAATATGTACTCAGATAACTTTTTGGCTATTTAACCTCCTTAGCGGTATTCCCGAGTGTAGCTCGGGGTAAAATTTGAGTACCAAGAGCGGTAACCCCAGCTACACTCGGGCTTACCATGCGGCGTTGCTCAGGGAGTCCCTGCAAAGTTTACCTTGTCCTTCGCTCCTGCGATGTGTCCCCTGCAGCGTCCCCGGCCATCTCCTCTGGCCGATGCCGGCATCCGGCTTCCGTGTTCCGGTGCCTGTGACGTCGGGACGTACGGCGGCAAATTTGAAATTTTTTAAAAAATGTCATTTTTTTTAAAAATGATTATTACATAGTAAAACATTGCTGTTTCAATGCATTTCACATACATTTTGTCCCTACTGCTTTGTCCGGCGCCCTGCCTGCATTTTGACTGTTCTTTCTGCCTGGAAACGTAGAAAAGTCCATGGCGTCCAAAAAGCGTCCCTTTACGTCAAAAGCGGTTTTAGACCGGCTAGAGAACAGCGATAGTAAATCAGAACCACTTGCAGAATTGAGTGATAATGATTCGTGGGGGAAATTCGTCATCAGACACTGAAAACGATTTTGCGACTTTGCTCAGTGATGTGCGAACTTGGCGCTCTATTTCAAATTTCAGTGTTTTTGGTTTGATTATATTATTGAATTTAATTTATTATTATATTATTATTTTTTATGATTATTTATTAAATTATAATTTATGATTTCGTGTTTCAAATTTTATCCTACCCGGGATGTTTAATAGACTCTTGTTCGGACAGATTTCAGTGAGTTATTCCTAAAAATTACAGCCTACAATAAAAAACTACATATTTCCATGCAAAAATATGGTACCGCTTTGAGCACAAAAAAATCGGAAATAATCATACCGCCAGGGAGGTTAAAAAAAAACAACACAAAAATAACAAACCACAGGATATACATATGCTCCCGTTTCCAGCATTGCCTAGGGTTCCTTGTGTTTCATGCCATCTGCCCTACCTCTCCATCTACACTCATTGAAGTATGTTTTAGGCCATAAAGGTCATGTTTTGGAGCACTTTCTCTCCACAAGTGTTCCTTATACACCAGGGTTTACACATTCCAGGACGTGTCAGTTTATTGAATACATTAGTGCATATATTGTGTAATGTGTTACGGGAAGTATGTTACTTAAAGGATAAGTTCACCTTTGGAACATGTCACATGTTCCACCCGTTATGTTCCTATAGCTGCAGCCACGCCAACCGCGCCCTCCCTCTGACAGACAATACGGGGTGAAGTTTCCTCGTACTATCTGTCAGATTTGAAAACAGCGCTGCCATGCAGAACTCTGTGAATGAGTGCCTACAAGTCCCAGCAGCCTTAGCAGCTGTTGGCTTGTAGTTTTCAATGAACTACCACGTGGCAGGTAATTGAAGCTTCCTGTCAGTACATCTGCTTGACCGTACAACCTGTACGGCAAGCAGATATTCTGACAGGTCTGCAGGAGGCCTGCATGGCATCAGAGATCTACTGATCGCTTGTGCAATGCTTTCCAGGCTCCTGTAGACAAAAATAATACATTTCTTTTACCTGCAAAAAAAATGTGCATTTATTATTTTTGTCCAAAAGGTAAACTTATCCTTAAAAGAAAAGTGTAAATAAATTTGCTATAATGTAGAGCAAGCTTTAATCCCATTTATTGAGACATGTTTATCATTTCTTTTCATTTAAAGCCATCATCTCGTAATGCAACTTCTGGGCTGCCAGGTACCTTTACTCCTCTAAGTGGATCATCATCTCGAAGAGGAAGTGGAGATGCCAGTAGTTTATTGGATCCAGATGCTTCACTGAGTGAATTAAGGGTGAGATAAATCAACACAGACACATCTTTGTGAATGCCCATCTCTTCAGATACTGCTTATAAGAAAAGTGGTTACACACAGAGGTTTTTTTTTTTTTTTTTTTTTAATATATATATATTTCTAAGCATTTTTGCTTTGCATTTACCTCTTGAGCATGAGATGTTCAAAGGCTATTTTGGTGAAAGGTTTTCTTTTTTTTTTTTTTTCTGGCTGGAATTAAATCTGTTCTATAAATATCAGTTAGATATTGGACAATGTGCTCTTTCTGTGCAGCGGAAGCCTGCTTTTTGTTTCACCTTTCCTTAAAGCAAGCAAAACATGCAAAATACCGAAGTATTTTCAGGTGTGGTGCAAATGTGGCTGTTTGCAAGATGCCTTCTTTAGCAAGAGCCACATTAATAGGTTTTGTTCACTAGTAAAATCTTGTATTCTAGAGCAACTACTTAAAAATAACAAAGTGGGTTCTTAAAAGGGTCTGGGAAATTTTTAGATGGTCTTTGAGTACCATTTTTTAATAATAAATGAAAGTATGCAAACATACAGTCATGGCCAAAAATATTCTCCCCCTTGAATTTCTATCAGATATTGCACCACTTCGCCCAGACAATTGTTGCAGTTACAAATGTTTAGGCATTCTCATTGTTTGTATTGGTATGACACAAAAAAACTGGAGAAACAAAAAGCCAAATCTGACACATTCCATGCAAAACTTCAAAAATGGACTGGACAAATTATTGGCACCCTCAATTTAATATTTTGTAGCTTTGAAAAATTAACTGAAATCAATCGCTTCCTGTAACCTTAAATGGGTTTCTTACACCTCTCTACTGGAATTTTGGACCATTCTTCTTTCGCCAATGGCTCCAGGTCTCTCAGGTTAGAAGGGTTCCTTTTCCCAACTGCTGTTTTGAGATCATTCCACAGGTGCTCTATGGGATTGAGATCTGGACTCATTGCAGGACAGTTCAGTACTCTTCAGCACTTAGTCTTGAACCATTTCTGGGTGCTTTTTGACGTGTGCTTTGGGTCATTGTCGTGCTGTAGAACCCATGACATCTGACGGAGACCCAGCTTTCTGACACTGGGCCCTACATTGCACCCCAGAATTCTTTGTTAGGCTTCAGATTTCACAATGCTATGCACACGGTCAAGATATCCAGTGCCTGAAACAGCCAAGCAACCCCAAAACAGTGAACCTCCACCATGTTTGACTGTAGGGACTGTATTCTTTTTCTTTAACCACCTCCCGCCCTCCATATATTCCAATGACGGGCGCAAGGTGGTTCTCTCGTTCTGATAGGACGTCATATGACGTCCTGCCATTCTCACCGCGCATGCGCAGCTCAGGGATTCGCAGATCGGCGGTGCTCTGTGTCCCTTGGACACGGGATCACCAATCATGGAAAGAGCTGAATATGTCGGCTCGGTCATGTGATCAGTGTCCAATCACAGCTGATCACATATAAACAGGGAAATGCCGGTTATCGTCATTTCTCTCCTCTCGAAGCTCACGCTGACAGCTCGTGAGGAGAGGAGAGCCGGTGATCGGCTTTCTGCGGAGGGGACAGTGTGCCCTGATGATCAGTGTGGCCTCAGAAGTGCCACCTGTCAGAGTCCATCAGTGCAAGCTGAACAGTGCCACGTGCCAGTGCATACCAGTGCACATCAATGCCAAAAATCAGTGCCCATCTGAGCTGCCCTTCAGTGTCACCCATCATTGCCAGTCAGTGCCACCTATCAATGCCAATCAGTGCCACCTATCAGTGCTGCCAATCAGTGCCACTTATCAGTGCCAGTCAGTGCCGCCTAACCGTGCCAGTCAGTGCTTCCTAACAGTGCCAGTCAGTGCCGCCTATCAGTGTCATATATCAGTGCTGCCTTTCAGTGCCCATCAGTGATGCCTGTCAAAGCCCATCAGTGCCACCTACCAGTGCCTCCTCATCAGTGCCACCTATCAGTGTCCATCAGTGCATCTTATCAGTGCCCCCTATCAGTGTCCATCAGTGCATCTTATCAGTGCCCATCACTACATCCTCATTAGCGTTCATCAGTGAAGGAGAAAAATCACTTATTTACAAAATATTATAACAAAAACTAAGAAAAATTTTTTTTTTTTCAAAATTTCAGTGGTTTTTGGTTTGTTTAAGAAAAAATAAAAAAATAAAGCTCTATCTGTCACAAAAAAATGATAAAAATTTCATATGGGTATAGTGTTGCATGACCGCGCAATTGTCATTCAAAGTGTGACGGCGCTGAGGGCTGGAAATTGGCCTGGGCAGGAAGGGGGTAGAAGTGCCCTGTAGGCTAGTGGTTAAAGGCCTCATTCCTTTTTCTGAAAATAGGAGACTGATGGGCTTTACCAAAAAGCTGTAATTTTGTCTGTCCAAAGCACATTTCCAAAAAGATTTTGGCTTTCTCAGGTTAGTTTTGGCTAACTACAATCTGGCTTTTTTTATGTTTCTGTGTCAGCAGTGGGGTCCTCCTGGGTCTCCTACTATAGCATCCCTTTTTATTCAGATGGTGATGTATTGTGTGAGCTGACACAGTTGTACCCTGTGCCTTCAGGTCAGCTTGAATTTGTCTGGAAGGCAATCGAGGTTCTTTATCTACTTTTCAAACAATCCTTCATTGCAATCTTTGATCGTTTTTCTCTTTCGTCCTCGTCCAGGGAGATTAGCTACAGTGCCATGGGCTGTAAACTTGACAATGTTGCACACAGTAGACACAGGGACAATAGGATCTCTGAAGAGGGACTTGCAACCTTGAGATTGTCCTTGCTTATTCATCATTTTTGCTCTCAGATCCTCAGACAATTCTTTGCTGTACTTTCTCTTTTCCATGCTCCATGTGGCACATGCAGATACACAATGGAAGGGTTGAGTGAAATTTTCGCCATTTTAACTGATTGCCGGTGTGATTTCTATATTGTCAGACCTGTTAATTGATGCTGTAGCAAGCGTACACACAGCGATGGACGTGGTTCATCCATTTTGCTCCAAACCTCCATCTTGTAGATCCTTCTCCCTCTCTTTGATCATCCCCCTCCCTCTCTGTTCATCCACAGTTACATGTAGTCGGTGTGTGTTGGCAGAGGTCACAGGCAGCCAAAGCACAGCAGGAAGATCCGAGCTATAAAAACTCCCAAGCTGGGTGCCTGGCTGTCTAAGAAACTGTGCAATTTGGCACATCGTAAAAGTATGAACCTAGTCCCTCACTGGACTTCAAAAGACCTTCCAAGGGGTCGTAAAAACAGACTTACTTCTAAAATCTTACTTTTCATATAAGTTGATATCTTCATGTAGGACATAACTACCTAAACATGGATCCTATATTCGGAAGGCTTAGTTTGAGGCCATTCTCCTGGTATGTGACACCCCTTAGCTGGCATACCTAGAAAAAGCAGAAAAGTATATCTCTTGAACCAGTCAAGTGCATATTTCATGTTTCATCTCTAACTATTCCGCAGATGCAGCTGAGTATTAATATACTAGTGCCCAGGCCGGCAAATGTGCCTAGGAAACGTTATAGATCATAATAGCAGCTACGAGAGCTTCTAGTCATAACTTCGGGCTCCACCTACACCTCCCTCCCCAAAAGGAGACCATTAGTTACTACTCAAAAGAGACGCCCTGCTGAGATTCTTGAAAAAGGGCTGTTATGCTTAGAGTCGTGTGTGCGAGAGAAAGCAGTCTCCTGCGTTTAACATCGAAACTAGCAGTAGAGACAAGAAATCCTTTTTGGCTCATGAGACTTGAAGCTGCTTAACCCAAGGCTTTTTGGCAAGTAGTTATCTACCTAAACTTCTTTCTGTAATCTTTTTGCTGTGTTATTGTTCTCTGTATATTTATATATCTATTGGCTACATCTTTTTTCTGTAAATATTTTTATTGCACCCTTTTGACCTTTTAGTAATAAATCTTACTTTGTGAAAGTTTTGAACTGTTTCTAAAGCTCTTTAATGCAACTTACGAATTCTTGCCGCTGAAGAGCACTACTATGTGTGTTTAACCCTCTGTATAACCTGTCTGCGGTGACAGTGGTATACAGACTCTTATCCAATCATCCTAGTGTTATTGCTGATATTGCCGAGTTTCCACTTTCTCTGTACAAATAGGAGGTGGGTGGCAGTGTGAAGGGTTAATTGCGTAATTAACCTGACCCAGTAACAATCGCGCTCAGGCTTCCGGTACATCGATTTGTGGTCCAGTGAGCTGGAAAATCGTTGTGCAAGCTGCAGCTGGGCATGGCATTGTTACGCACGTGACATCATGGTTTTAGATTGGCTAGTCCTTCGGTCACGAGTTTGGTGAGAAGTGCAGGGGTCTGATGTCGCAATCGTAACAGATGCAGGTGAGTTTTATTACAAATTACAGGAGCATTACAAATTTAGAATGCCATTATTTCTTATAATTTTGAGAAGGTGCCAAAAAAAATTTTGTCCAGTCCATTTTTGCACGTAATGTGTCAGATTTGGCTTTCTTTCTCCGCTTTTTTGTGTCATACGAATACAAACAATAGAAATAAACTTGAGAATGCCTAAACATTTGTAATTGCAACAAGTTTCTGGTCGAAGTGGTGCATTATCTGAAGATCACAACAGACACTGAAATCAGAGGTTCATAGAGGCTAATAGAAAGGTTTGAAAATGCATGATACAAGTGTTTTTATGCTCTGCAGACACATTTTTACTGCAGTCATCTCTAGCTACATTTGGAAAATAGCAGGCACTTTTCACACCTCCCTGGATGCTGAGTACATAATTTGAGAAAATGCACAATAAAAGAACTCAGAGAACATGTATGCTGTTGCACTTAGCTGGAAAAATCAATTTCACCTAAAAAGTCCATTGTCTCTATAGATGGCTTTAACTGTATATCCAGCCAAAGTCTTTTTTTTTTGGATAGAGTGGGGAGGGTTTGGAATACCTGTCAGATTTAATATCTTTCTGGGGAAGGGAGTGTTTTTTTTTCCTCACTTCCACTCCTGGTGACTAGTTTCCA